GCTGTGTCTCTCTCTGTCAAATAAATAAATAAAATCTTAAAAAAAAAAACTATCAAAAAGAGTAGAAGGAAGTAGCTTTATTGCTTAAAAACATTTCTCTTGTAACCTGTCACACTACTTTAGGATTGTGTCATAAGGATTAACAAAATTCAATTCTTGCAGGTATTGATGATTTGGAGGGAATAATATTAATGGTCTTGATAATTATACGTATCCTTATTTAAATGACTTTTATTTATAATTTATAATAAAATTATGGACTCCATGCTATGGAACTATGTTTATGAATTTTTTTTGAAATTTCCAATTATGTTATTCATGTTTTGGTGTGATTATTTAGCATGTTTAGGTCCAGGTTTTAATTTTTACTTTTGGGATGAAAAGCAAAGTATTAAGATTTATGTAAAAAGCATCATCTTACACAAAAACAAGGAATCATGGATCACTACATCAAAAACTAATGATGTATGGTGATTAACATAACAAAATAAAATAAAATTTTTAAAAAAGCATCATCTTAATGCAAACTCTTAAATTCCTTTAAAAATCTACTTGCAACCTAATGTTTTGTTATATCTGTAGCCCTTTCATTGTTATTAACAGTGTTACTTGCCATTACTTGCAATTCCAAAGATAATTCTTCTAAAACTTAGTCTTCCAATTACCTTAAGATATGTGTTTACTAAATTATGTGGGTAACTATTAATCAAGTGACAGGTTACAGCCCATTATAGTTATAGCTTTTCCAACAGATAATATTTTTTACTTCAAAATTATTTCTATGCAAAATAGCTAAAATGCTCTTACCTTTTTTTACTTACTATGAAATCCTCCAGAGTTACTAGAATGGAGTAACCATGACCCAACTCCACTTGGGAAAAAAGAAAAAAAGTGTTACTGGTTACTGAATCAAAACTAGAAAAAGGAATTTAGAGAACTGTTACCTTAAGCATATTTTTCTCCATTAATGCCACTTCTCAGCTTATCCCTGGGTATCTATATTTGTGTGTATGTGTATAGAATATGTATCTGTGTGTGTGTATGTGCATACAATCCATCTTTTATTTTAAGAACAGACATTTTCATTAAGTATGCATGTAGATAAATGTCTGATTGTCACTGTGACAGGATTGTTTGCAAAGTCAGTTGATAACACATGGCATTTTACCAAGTGATTAATTTTTATTGGCTCAATTCACTAGTTCACAGTAACACAAAGTAGTTACTCATGCTCAAAAATGCATAATCAGTAAATAGTTTTGGGATTTATCTCTTTTTAGACATTGAACTATTCCACTCAAACTAAAATGGATGGATTATTTCTAGTAAACATAAAAATGAAAACCTTTTTAAAAGTCTTGTAGTCTTAATCTTTTAAAACAAATTAAGTCCTTTAAAAGGATGTCTTAGTTTGCTTCATTTGTCAGTAATGTATTGCTTTAAATTTATCATTTTACTTCACCTTTTTTTCCTAAAATGATACTTAGTCCATCAAATTAGATCACTTTAGTTTGATTTATAATGCTATGTTGAAAATATATGAAAGTCAAATTTTGCAAGCATTTTAAACCACTTTATTTTTCAAATTAACCATTTATCATAAGTAGTAAAGATGCCAAGATTACATTATTACCTTTTATCTCAAGATACAGTGAAATAAATAATTCCATATACACACCTTTCACGTTGTTTCAGTATACTTCTGTCTTTCAGCAAACATTCATTTCAAACTGTATGTTAGGCATTTGCCAGATATTAAAGATACATACATGAGAAAGACAGTGATCCTATACTCAGGAAACTCATAAATTAATAGAGATCGAAAAGGTGGTGGTGGTGGGAAAAGGTGGACTTTAGTATTTAACATTTATTCTCTGCCTGCAATCTAGGTACTTCATGTTGTTTCAATTAACCTTCACAAAACGCCGTAAGATATTTATTATTTTTCCCATTTTATAGAAGGGAAAACAGACTCAAAGACAGCAAGTTGCCCAAGATCATAAAGCTAATAAGTAACAGAGATGTGATACAAGCCTTTCATTCTCCAAACTCCTGTTGATATTTGCTTATATTATCGGAAACATTTTTATTCCAAGCATAATGATGATATAAAAATGGGTAATCTATGGTCCCTACCCTCAAAAAGTTTTAATTTTTATGAGAGCAACTCATACTCTTAAAAAAAAAGGCATGACTGTACATCCTTTTAGGCTATGTCTGTTTAAATCCATCTAACCACATTTTGGGTCAAAATTATTCTGTGATAATATAAAGGTAGTTAAACCACATTTTGAACAGGACTCTGTTGATTTCATTTGTTTCTTTCTTAATTTTGGTCTGTAAGAGATTCCTGTCTCAAAGTCATATAAAACTGATGTAATTTACTGCCATTAAATAATTAAGCATTAAATTGCTGCCTGAGGAATACTGTATTGCCCTATAGAACTCCTCTCAATTAGTTTTGTTCATTTAAATAGAAAACTTTTTTAGAACTAGGACAGAGTGAGAATTGTTTAAAAGTCAAGCTACTTTATTTTAATTTGGCTAATTTAAATTTTCCAGGGTAAAAAAATTGTGACCAGGATTAATTCCAGCATGAAAATGAACATTTCATATTAATCTCCAAATCTTCAAGTCTACCTTTCATACATCATTTAAGTCTTTCTTATGTTACCCATTGTCTCTTATGCAAGGGAGCTTAAAGATACTTCACCTTCATTATGAATGGAGAAACCTCAAAACATTTATTATTTTTTTTTAAGATTTTATTTATTTATTTGAGAGAGAGAGCACATGAGAGGGGGCAGGGTCAGAGGGAGAAGCAGACTCCCCGCCGAGCCGGGAGCCCGATGGGGAATTCGATCCAGGGACTCCAGGATCATGACCTGAGCCGAAGGCAGTCGCCTAGCCACCCAGGCGCCCCAACCTCAAAACATTTATAACAATTTTTATAATCCAAAAGATACAAATTTCAGATGCCACAGATGACAAAATAGAAAGTAACCAAGTGCCAGTAAATCGTACCTTCTTTTTCTTGTTAATGAAGTTAGAGTGTGCGCCCATACATTTCTGATTTAACTAAAGAGCTGTTATTTTACCGAGCACCTGCTATTTTAACTGCTTGAGTTTTCTTGTCATGCATCTGTATATGTGTGTATATACATATATATGTGTAATTTATATTTATATAAGTATCTGATACTAATATTTTGCTATAAGTAAAATTAATTTTATGAAGAAAATGAAAATTAACATATTTGACACTTTTTAATTTCAGTTTATTGATGGTCGACTGGCAAAACTAAATGCAGGAAGGGGTTTCTCTGATGTGTTTGAAGAGGAAATCACTTCAGGTGGCTTTTGTGGAGGTAAAGACTAGCTCCAGTATGATTATCCATTTTCTGAGTAACAATTGTCTTGATTTTTACACTTGTATCTGATATAATCTACTTCATAAGGAACTTTTGCTCTTAAAAATATAATGTCTTAAATATGTTCTTTTCATAAGAGCTGTGGTATTATTTTATTGTTCAAGGTGTTAAAGATGGTCTCATGAATTGGTAATTGTTTGCTTGGATAATCTCTTAATATTAGTAGAAATAAATGTCACAGAAATGCAGTTAGCTTGTATCTTCCTGTCTTTCATCCTGGCTAGTATTGTCTGCTAAAAATAACCCACAGTGATGGCTACTACTAAGTAAGAATTAAAGAACTAAGATTATAGTTGAAATATTAGATTATAACATAATCTAAAAAAAAGATTTGAATACCACAGTGCTTTTACATTTTAAGTAAGTGTATTGTTATAGAAGTCTTTACCTTTTTTTTGCTTTGCAGAACATTGCAGCGTGAGGAAAAGACTTTTCAGTTTACCATCCCATGTGCTTACACTTGTCACTGTAAAAAGTGCTCACTAAAAAAATGGAAGGCGTCGTATTATTTTGTATGTGTGAAACATAAGCTAGGTGATATCTAATTTTTATTTAATATAATGCACTTTAATATAATTAAACAATTATAGTGTTTCATATGTAAGTATTCAAACAATGTTACAATTACCTAGGCAGTTAATGACTTACGAGCTGGTACTTTGTACATGATTGCTCCAGTATATAGTCCTGACTCTGGCAGAGAATTTTGCTCAAGTCCTTGAAGTGTCACATTCATTCATTCAGCTGGTATTGTGTGAAGTGTTTACCTATGTACTAGGTACTGTTCCAGATACAGGGTGAACTAAACAAACAAAAATCTCTGGTGTGTTCATTTTCACCATGTATGATAATAATTTTTCTCTTTATCTGTAGGTTTAATTTGGGGAAAAGATGTCTTTAGTGTGCATGTGAACAAACAGTTCCTAGAATTGAGAAATAAAACATGAAAAGACAGTAATGAGTACACATCTACAAATTTCCCCAAATTTAATTTTATTCTTAAATAAGATGTATTTTTTGCACCGTAGAAATACAAAAACCATTGAGATAATTTGTTCATTAAAAGAGGTACAAATGAACTGAGCATTTATGGATCTTCATCTGGCATAAGTATAGCATTTCATTGAAAGCATTTAGCTTTGGGAAAAACTTTACTTGACTCAGCAAGTAAGCCAAGTGTGCAGTCATTCAGCTCCTTGCTGTCCTCAGCTCATGGGTAAAAATTTAGCTTCAATGGAACTTTTGTGTTAAAATAAGGCTTTTTTACTTTTCAACTCAGACAAGCAAAATATTGTCAGCTCCTGGACGAATTGCTTGAGGCATCTATTCAGTATTTATATAACTGCTGTCTCATTATTTTTATGACCCGTGGGGCTAGTATCTTATATGGAATTGAAGATGACATCTTGTGACAGTAATGGGGTAGAACTATGATCATTTTGTAGAGTTAAATTCTGTAGTCTTAACCATTGGTCCAGATACCGCTGTTCTAGAATAGAAGATAGGTCGGTGTCTTTTCTGGTGGGAGAGGGGTTACTAAAATTTTTCATTAAAGGTCTTATGGTTTAAAAAGAATGGGATACTGGGGTGCCTGGGTGGCTCAGATGGTTAGGCGTCTGCCTTTGGCTCAGGTCATGATTCCGGGGTCCTGGGATCAAGCCCTGCATCGGGCTTTCTGCTCAGCGGGGAGCCTGCTTCTCCCTCTCCCTCTGTCTCCCCCCTGCTCATGCTTTCTGTCTCTCTCCGTATCTCTGTGTCTCAAATGAATAAATAAAATCTTTAAAAAAAAAAAAAGAATGGGATATTGATCACCAGTTGGCATCTGACTTAGAGACTGCTACATTTGCAGTACAACTTCAGGCCAACCACTTTGTTTTTCTTTCTTAAAATGAAAAAAGTTTTGAACGCTTATCTTAATTTGGTGGTGGTGGGAACAATACTGATTCAAAAGGAAAACATAATTCAACAAGTATTAATTTCAGTATGTACAGCAAGAAAATATATTAAAAATTATGCCTGGCTATCAAGTGTTATTTTTTAATCATTGTATTTTAGGTTATTATTTTAGAGATACATAGAGATTATTCTTAGAAAAATATAAAGCACAATTTATTAGGATTTGAAATAAAAATATGAATAATCTAATAAAAATTAGTAATGTTCTTATAAATGACATATATATATATAAAAGAACATAATACATTTGTCATTTAGACTACATTTGTAAGAAGGATGTCTATATCATGATATGAAACTATTTTTCAAAGAAGTGAACTATTATAACTCATTTCTCTCCTAGTTATAGTAAGAATAATTATAATTGTTCCTACTTACTGAATATTAATATGTGACAGAATCTCTTTATAAGAGCTCTACAAATTTTACCTCATGTAATCCTCAAGAGCACCTGTGAGGTATTTTGATTACCCATCCCCATTTTTATGAGGGCACTTATCTCAACAATTTGCCCCAACTCACTGCTAGTAGTGCTAGAGGCTGAACTCAGCCTGTGTCTGCCTGGGTTCAAAGCTCTTGATTTAATAACTATAATATATTGCTTTCTTGTGATAAGAAATCCTCTTAATTAGAAGACATTCAGTAAACAAGAGCACTACCCAAGCCTTCTCTACTCCAAGTGGATAAAGTAAAATTCCTGTCTCATGATTATCCGTTGAAGATTTTTTATACATAAAGCCCTAAGAAAGATCACTGTAAGAAAAATCAACATTCACTAAGGCTGAGGAAAAAATCATGTTCCTTTAAGCAAAAATAATTAGGAAATTTCAGAGAAGCATCTAATTTCTCCCCTTTCTGTGTCACTGCAATGGCAGTTTATATACTCTATTTATACAGTTTATATATGGTGATGATAAAATGAATATGAGTATGGTGGAACTTTGTAATTATTGTGGCTTTGTTAAGAATATACAGTGCAGGACAGTCGTTCATAGCAAACCTAGATTCACATTGAATCAGAACTATGGTTAAAGCCTGAATGCATACAGATCTCCAAAAACTGTTTTCTGTCCTGTAAATCCCGGTGGTCAGGACTGTAAAGAAATCCCTGTTACTCCTGATTTTTTTCATGAGACCTTTGTAGAATAATCAACCTTAAGAGGAAAGTAATATCAGGAAGTGTGTAAAGGGAAGAATACCCATAGTGGCTAAAAGGTAATAAAAGTGGACACAAGTAGAACAAAGGACGAAATTAGATAAACACAAACATTGGTTTATGAAAAAGCAGCTAAGGAATATTGAGTAGTTAAGAACCTGGGGTGGGGTTTTTTGCGTATTTTTTTCATTTAAAATAAGACTAGTTTTTTAAATCCACTTCCAGTTATCTAAACTTTAAAAAGGAGAGACATTTTCAGATTTTATATAGAAGCATATAGTTATTCTTCATTAGCATTTGTTGCTTCATTAGTTTCCTGACATAATCTGATCAGTCTTTTATTTATTTAATTCTCTTTCTTTTTTGTACTGACTGAGGCACCAAGAGAATTTGAAAAGGTAGTAGGTAGTTACCCGTTTTAGTGGCATTTTTCTGGCTTCACTGAACAATTTAGATAAATTTATATATTTTTTTGAGAAGTAACTAGAGATTACTGGAATTTAAGCAAACACATTTGAGGAAGAAGTCTTTGCACAAGTGGGAAACAAAGATACTTTGTCCTTGAGTTTGAGAAAATCACTCGTATGTTTAATGAGAACAGTGTTGGGAATTTCCTCAATAATGCTTGTTATTTCCATAATCCAGTGACTTTAGTGGAAGGACTGAGAGGTTTTTTTTTTTTTTTTTAGCATTCAGATTCATTTTTAAGAAGAAAAATAGCCTTTAAGAAATATTTTTTAAAATAATGTACTTGTCTCATAAATTTTGTGGAAATAGAAGCTTTCAATCTGAAAAGCACTAAATTTAAAAAAACAAATATCCTTTTTTTTTTTTTT